TGGGCAAAACTCAAGATCTAGCTACATAGAGGAATAAAAATCGGATCTTGGACACTTACAAAGGTCCAGAAGAGTGCCAAACTGAAGATGAGAGCTTTGCTTGCTAGATCCTTGCTTCCTACTTCCAACCTTCTTCTTCTTTTGCTCCAAAAAAATACCACACAAGATCCCAAATGAGAGGGAAGGATGATTAGGGCTCACAAAGGCCGATATGTGGGTCTGGAGGTTGATAAAAGATCAACCATGGGGACTTAAGGAGGTTATATAGGGTGCAAAACCCTAAAATTCAGGATTTCTCATCCAGCCGCCAACACGCCGAGTTTCCCTCGCCCAACTAGCCGTGTTGGTACATAAAAATACGCTGCCCAAAACCCTCCAACTCGCCGTGTTGAGGCTATCAACACGCCAAGTTCCAAAGGAAAAACTTGCTTTAAGGAATAAATCTCATACCTGAAAATCGGGATGTTACACTGGGCCTTCTCGTTTTTATATTTCTCATCACTATAGGTCATAAACTAATTCACATGATTGTTTTCATGAGAGTTTGCCGAAAACAAGTCATCATTGCACATCAGACTTCACACATTCACGTCGGTTTTACATAAAAAAAAGTGTAATATGTGTGACGACCTAAAACGGTGGGCAACTGTCCTCTTTTTATAACAGATCAGTTATTAAGCGAGCCATAATGTGCTGAGATTTCATTTTAAGTGATTCAAATCATATATTGAAAATAGTGACGTGAAAAAACCCATGACAAGTCGTGCCACGGTCGAAAACGATGGCCAAATGTCATCTTGTTCAACGAGTTTTTTATGTTATATGTACATTTTCCTTGTGTCACGTATTAAGTGAGACGTAAAGACATAAGGCGATAAATTTTAATTATAACCGATTGAATCTTATATTTAAATTTGTTACATGAAAAAACTAGTGACAGGTAGTGCGACGGTCGAAAATGGTGGCCAAATTTCATCTTTTATAACTTGTTTTTTATTTGATATGTACCTTAATAGGGTAAGTGAAATCCAACTATCCAAGTCGAATAAATCACTTCAAATTTTTTTAACATATATATCACACTAATTTTTAAAGAAACGAAATGTTTCAGTCCGGTCCAAAAATAAACAGAAAACCGATTTGTTCAACCGTACTCGTCCCCAGTTCCCGGTTCGAACTGGTTTTAAAAATATTGAACATAATATTATAACTTGTCACTGCAAGTTGTAAAATATCAACCTTGCTAGAATTTGTGCAACTCGGGTCCAAGTATTGGATTTGGAAGTGATCATATGATCCTTCATGAATATCCAAACAATTTATCGATTTCAGATACTTTATTCTCCTTTAAAATCCTAACAAAGATATGCGTCAACTATTTAGAAACTTAATAAAGATAATGATTATTTTTGTTAAATTATAAAAACCAGATAAAAACACTATTTTTATGTTATATATAGTTTAATGGGTCGGAGATGATTTAATGTTTACAACGTCTTTTATGCTATATTTCTAAGTCCGGTGTAAAAACTAATTTTTATCGGTACCGTTATTCGCTTGTGTTAGAAGAATCAAGTTGTTTTTCATATAATTTTTTATATTATATAAACATACCTTAAAATAACTATAAGATAAATTTTCGTGACAAAATACTATATATATATATATATATATATATATATATATATATATATATATATAAAAGTCATTTTTTACCACATTTTGTGATAAAGAAAAGTAAAAGAAGTAGCATGTCCTTTGGTTTAAATTTAATTGAAAGCAACATGTGTTTTGTTTTAAGAGCACTACAACAATCCTTTTTTGAAATACTAACCGCATCGAACTTTTAGGCTGTTCGGTGTAAACAACATGTTATTGCATGTTACCATACCCAAAAGGTGCCACATCATCATCATAGTCATACATGGGTGTTATAACACCAAGATGAAAATGGACAACACCAAATAATATGTGATAACACCCCTTATTTTGTATTTTATTTTTTAATTTTTTTTTGATGTTTTTAATTTCTATATTTCCAATTTGTTTTTTTTTATGTCATAATATTTATAATTATCATATAAATTAATTCCAAAATTAAAAAATAACATTTAAAAAGTAAAACTAAAATTTTAATAAATCCTAAATTAAAAACAACATAAAAAAATACAACAAAGGACAAAAACATTTAAAACCTAAAAACAAAAAAAAAGAGAAAAATTACATTTTTTTGACCTAAATTAAACTTCAGTACCATCGTAGATATGATCTTGCAAGTAAGTATTTTGCTGTCCTTTGTTGAAATTAAATGTGTCTTGGTTCCGTAGGCAAATACTCTGCAATGTTTCGTCATTTATCTTCGGTCACCATGTTATGTATTATGATACAAGCATACATAATATCTCGTAGAGTGTCCAACTCTTAAGGTCGTGTCATATGTTCAATTATGTGTCATTTTGTTTTAAGAACTCTAAAAGCACGTTCCACGTCCTTACGTGCTCCTTTTTGTCTTCTTTTGAAAAATTTGTCTCTTTGTTCTATCGGGTGTCGAAAAGCATTCGCAAACGTGGAATATGGTGGATATATTTCATCCGTGAGGTAATACCCGAACTTATACTCATGGCCATCCACTGTGAAAAGAGCATCTGGTTCCTTTACTATCAAAAGGTCCTTAAATATTGTTGATTGATCAAGAACGTTTATGTCATTGTTAGAACCCGCAACTCCAAATAAAGCATGCCATATCCATAAGTCTTGTGACACAATAGCCTCTAATACCAACGAATGCGATCCAAGATGACCACTTGTGTATTGACCTTTCCACGCCACAGGACAATTTCCACATATCCACTTTGTGCAATCAATGCTTCCAAGCATACCCGGAAAACCATGTCGTTCTTCATGCGCCGCATATAGTTGTTGCATGTCATTCAATGAAGGTTTGCGCAAGCATTTGTCACCAAAGGTTTCTATAACACCTTATGCCAATCAATACAAACTTTCTCGTGCAATTGGCTCCGACATTCTCATATAGTCATCAATGGAATCGGGCGACTCCTCCATAGCCATAAGCTTGATTGCTGCAACACATTTTTGCAACCTTGTAAAACCTCGTTTACCTCTCGCATCATACCTTATTTAGAAAAATTCATACGTAAAAATATATTAATTTGTAAAAAATGTGTACTTATTGTATCTAAAAAACAATTATCTAAAAAGTATATTTATGTTATTTAAAAAACATTTATCTAAAAAGTGTATTTACGATACATGCTTTCCAATGAATTGGTTATCCGTTGAAACACATTTTTTCGCAAATAAAACCTTCTTTTGAAATCGCTAGGTTTGTAGACATAATTATCCGCAAAATAATCGTGTACTAAACGTCTATGCCCTTCTTCACGATCTTTGTTCGACATCACACGCTTTGTCAGTAGTGGAGCTGGCTCTGGCGGTAACATGTCTGTAGAATATTGCACTACTACAAAATAACAAATAGAATACTGTTAAAATGAAACATAGAATACGGTTTTATAGCCGTAGTCTATAAGGGGAGTTTCATATTCGAACATGTAATACAATATGGTTGTAAAATCGTACTCTATAATCATCATATAGTACGGTTTTCTAGATAATACAATACGGTTGCAAAACCGTACTCTACAATCATCATAATGTACGGTTTTTTAAATAATACGGTACGGTTGCAAAACCAGTACTCTATAATCATTATAAAATACAGTTTTAGGGTTTTTAAAAAGTAGCCTTATTCTTTTAACGAAACACATAGAATACTGCTTTTTCAATGTAACCGTACTCCTTATAAAATATTGTAAAGTACGATTTCTTATTGCCAAAGGACATTCTAAATAAATATATTTCATAAATTAAATACAATAATTACACTTTTCTATAAAGAAAACATGCCTATAAATAATTTCTACACACAATAATTTCTACACACAAACATTTCATGAACAAACAAAATATATATAAGAGTCAAAACAAAAGCATGATTAGTCATTAATTTCAAAAATTAACAATATCCAATTCAAACATAATTTGCAATAAACCCAATTTGTCCATCCTAATCAACGAAAAATTAAATATATAAAAAGACAAACAAATCCATCTGGTAGATGTCAAACTCCATAATTGCAGCCACATACCTGCGACATATAAGACAACAAAAGAAACTAACAGTTGCAACTAATGGAAAAAAGGGAACATATAACTGTCATGATAATAAAAAATTGAGTTAATTTGCAGGAAATAGCAACATAGTTTCATTTATTTGTTTATTAAGACATCCTACTACCATTTCTTCTTATTAATATACATTGAGATATATATCCCATAATAGCAAGATCCTCCAAATTCAAATTATTTTTTACACTATATATTTTTTTGTAGTTTAATGTCCTAATAAGATAAAGATTTGAAAGTATGATGCTATAGTAGGTTCATTTTTAAAATTACAATGTCTTGATGAGTTTTTTTAGGTATAATGTTGTATAAAATGAAATGCAAGTGCAGTGTTATAATAATCAAGTACATTAAAGTAAAATGCTATAATAAACAATTAGGTAAGAACAACTAACCTTTCAAAGGGGCACTTGACTCAAATACTTACTCTCAAACCTTGAGCTCCACATAACGATGATTTCATTTAACACCCAATCTGGAAATGGTTTGTTATCGTTCCAGTTTTTCTATATATAAATTAAAAAATAAATTATAATTTAATAAAGAATGTTTAACATATTAGACAAATTGCACAAAGATTTAAGATACTTTGTTTGGGAATTCATTTTGTCGAGTCAACACGAACTCAAACATCCATCTCATGATGTAAAAACCGCACTCCCAACCTGATGGTTGTTGGTTGCACTAGAAATATGAACAATAAAGGATTAGAGAACTTTTACTTTGAACCTAGGGTTTTGATCTGATGATGGAACAGGTTCCGTATTCCAGGTATCAGTTTTTAATAAAAAAAATTAACAAGAAACAGGTTCAGGGTACCCATGAAGTACTTTTACCTCGACAAGTGTCCAATTCATTGGGTGTGTTGTGTCGATATCTTCCTTAAGCCTTGCAACAGCCCTAAAATGAAGATTAGAAAAAAAATTAAAAAAGCCATAGAAATAAATAACAGTCGGAAATACAAAAAGATTTCTTACTCTTCGACATATTTCATGACTATGTAGTTCTCCACGGGCTTCTCATCCGTATTTTTTTGGAATCCAAGATATACCCTGTGCCTTGGTTAGGGCAGATTATTAGCAGCATCCAATGCAATCTAGTAATGTTAATACATTTTAGTATACACAATAAAGAAATAAAACCAATAAAAATGAAAGAAGTAAGATTCAATACCCTTGCCAATAGGATGCGACAAAAAACAATTTGTCTTTATGGAAGCGCATTGCATCAACAATGTAACTTACAACACCCTCACCATTTGACTCGCATATTGTTGCCTGAATCTCACTCGGGGAAATGAAAGCACATTTGTTAACTTTATTCCCACCACGTGTTTCAAGCATTGAATGTAACATGCTACAAACCAGAAAATATACATTATAAATGTAAATACTATAAACGAAAATAATTTAAACATTGTTGTTTGTACTTACATTTGAAACCAAGTTATGACACTAATATCAAGCCATTTTTTATTCAACAGACGTAAAATATCCTCGGGGTAAATGTACGTTTCAATTTTTTGAGCTCCAAGGATCCCGGGTTCGGCTTCAACATAAATCGCATCATCAGGAGCTTCACGATTCATCAAACGTCTATACATTCTTTTCATGACCAGGGGAATTTTTTATTGTTCAACTTGCTTATTAGAATTATGTGGTATCAAACTTTCCTTTGATGGCTTGGTCTTCTTCATAACACCCTTCGAGATTACTGGCACACTCTTGGTTATGCGAGGTTGCTTTGTTTTTGTACAAACATTAAAAAAAAATTTGATTATCAACTATTTGTACAATTTATAATATACATATAATAACTAATAAGGTTGGAGAAATTACCAGGTCGACAACTACCGGTAGAGAGGAACATCTTTTATCTTGTTCAACATTTGGCTTGAACTGTGAGGACTGTTAACAAGTTAGATGTGTGCCAAGGAATGCAATTAAGATCATTCAGGTACATAGAATTATCATTAACTTTGTTTAGAATTAGAGTAATAAATAGAATTAACATTAACCTAGCAAGGATAAAATTCCTTGCACGTTCACTTCTTATATTATGGAACTCCGTTGACTCACCAGATTCCATCTCTTTTCCCCATTGAGGTTTCAGACCACGATAACCACGTGGGCCTATCCGAGGCGGATACTTGTTCAACTTTGCAGTCTCTGTAGCTTTGCTGCTTATTTCCTGGAAAGAAGTAAGTAGCGGAATTAGAAACACTGCAATATAGTATTATCATATAAAGAGGGGTAAAGTGAGCCAAACGTGGAAGCTCGGTGATGTTTTGAGTTGAACAAAAGCATTCCATGTAGGCTCGTCTAGGTATTTTCTACCCTTATTTAGGTATTCGGTAACAAGCCTGCTCTTGTAAGCCTTCCATGACTGATTGCAAATTTTTAGTACCTGGTTTTTGTGCCTATCATCTTCTATATTCCAATGTTTTTTTTTTTTATAATAAAGTACAATAAATATTAGTAATATATATATATATATATATATATATATATATATATATATATATAAATGAATGTATGAATTAAATGAAAGTACAATTAACAGGCTCACACAAATACCTTAATGTTTAACCACAGTTCATAGATTTCAGCCTTAGGAACTTCATCCCAACGCAATATGAGGATAGAAATCCTCGTCCTTACCATGACTCCACAATAATTTCTAAACTGAGATTGGGTAGCTCCGATATTTTGGCCTAGCTCATCAAATTCAATTTCCAAATCCACTTTGTTTTTCGGGTTTCCCCTTATCAGTGTCACACTTTTTTTTCTTTGTGGTTGATCCATTGTATGCCTACAAAACCAAGTAACATCATTTCAGATATACATATTAAGGAAGTAATTGTTAATGTGTATTATGGTGAAGAAGAAGATGGTTCAGAAGTTGAAATAGGTGTTTGATGATGATTGTTGACTTCTTCAAATTGAGAAGTCAACTTGTTAACTTCAGTTTAATCTCCCTAAAACAATATATTTGTTGGGATGTTTGTGAATCCCCATTTTCTGTTGATTCTTCTTGTGTTTGACGAATTTCAAGCAAATGCTGGATTGAAATTTCAATATGATAGGAAACAGGGTTTCTACAAATCGGACAAGTTGAATGTCAATGAAACCACATATCAATGCATTCAACATGAAATCCATGGCTACATTATGGTAGAATTCGAGTTTTTTCTCCTTCATCGAGCTCTGATTCACAAATAGCACAATCTAATCCATCTTTGAAGTCATTCGGGTCGAACCGGATTACCAATTATTAGTTATAATTTCTGTAACAAAATACTAAATCCCTAACTTGAAAGTGAGGAGTTACAATTTGTTATATGCACATAAACCAGGAAAGAAAAGAACTTGAAATTTTTTGATACAATCACACTAATTTGTGCTGTATCTTGGGTATTGTTCACGAAATGGGGGAAAATGATGATTAGAAAAATTACCTGTAAAATGTTCTCACAAAACGATTGAACTGCTGTCTGCTTTCGTCACAATTGTTTGCTCTCCGATGCTCTCACATAAATTTCTTTGATATCTATGGTCTCCCCGTCAACTGCATTCTCAAGCCTTAAACCCTAAACTTGAATAAAGCGGGGAAAAATGTGCGCCTAAAATTGCTCCTACCATGATCTAATTGATCATGGGGTACTGGTTTCTCGAAAATTAGCAGCGTTTTCCTCAAAATTTTGATCGTGGAGCAACTGGAACTCACACCCATTTTTCTGTGAGTCTATTGAAAAGAAAATTAGGATTTAATAAAATTTATGAGTACCTTTGGCATATAAACCGTCGGTCATAAAGGTGTGTTAATGATTATAAAATTAATAAACATCTGTATCAAAATGTATGAGATTTTTTTTTTTAATAACCAAGTAATCCTTATATTACATCTAAAAATATTAATATTATAAATGGATAGATACATACATATCTACATGCATACACATAAATAAATATAACATTTATAAAAGCATTTTTTTTAACGTAACTTTACTAAAGTGAAATAAAAATCATATAATATTTAAACCAAAAATACTAGAATTATTTATAACTTACCAAAATTCTCAAAATAATTTGAATCATGTTCACGCATGTTCCATTATTTTCCGTTTTAATGTCTTTTCTCAGGACATGTTATTATAAAGTACATGTTACTGCAAAAATACAAACTGTAATAATAGTTATTATAAAGTACTAAAAATTTATAATCACTTTTTTTAGTTTCACGACAGATAAATAGTTTATTACCTTTCTTGCTTTCCGTTTGCATTTTTTTGCAATCCATAATCCTTCATTGTGATCTGATCTTAAATAAGCAGTATCATCAATATCGACATTTGTAGATGGGATACCGATAGAAAATGGGGGTAGCTCGTCAAACTAATTGTATTCTTCCTTGTCCACTACATTTTCAATGCCAACTATACGTCGTTTACCATGCAAGACAATGTGCCATGTCGAATCTTTTGGGTCCTCCACGAAGAATACTTGGGTAGCTTGTTTTGCTAGAATGAATGGTTCAGATGCATAACCGTCTGTGGAAAGATCAACAAGTGTGAAACCGTCGTTGTCAATTTTAACACCTTGTCGATTGTCGACCCATTTACACTTCAACATTGCTATAGGAAAGGAATTATAATTAAATTCCCAAATTTCTTGGATGACACCATAATAAGAATTTTTAGCGATCCTCGACCTTGTTTCATGATCTGTGCTATAAAATTTTGTCGATGATGCTATTAGCGTCACCCCGCTATTTTGATGCGTACTTTTATCATCTTGCTTCTTAGTATAAAATGTATACCCATTAATGTCGTAGTCTTGGTATGTTGCAACATGTTGTGGGCCGTTCTCCAGCTCCACTACTAATGGATCCATGTTTTCTCCCCCATAACTTTGCTTCACCTTGTCTTTCAACCATTGTGAAAAAGTTTTATTATGCTCGGTGGTCAACCATCTATAACTCTTATTTTTATGTTTTGCTTTTAACAGTAACTTGTGCTCATTTATGTATGGAGCAACCACTGTCATGTGTTGTAAGACTGTAAAATGTGCAATGTGGAAACTGTTTCTGTCTAGAACTACCATTTTCAATCCAATTGTCCCAATCCCTTCAAGTCTTCTATCATGTCGAGAATGTGGAACCCCTATACTTTTCACACCTTTTTAAATAGCTTGTACAAAACTCAATTACCTCTTCTCTAGCATATCCTTCAACAATACTTCCTTCTGTAGCATATCCCTCTTCTACCCGATGTCTAATGAAATGATATTTTCTGTTGATATGTCTGCATCTGCCATGATCCCTCGGTTCCTTGGTTAAGGCAACCGTACCTTCGTTATCATAGAAAATCTCCATAGGATCCTTTATGGCTGGCACAACTCCAAGGTCTCCGATGAAGTTCTTTAGCCATATTTCCTCCTTTGACGCTTCGCTCGCTGCAATGTACCCTGATTCGCACGTTGAATAAGCTACGGTATCCTGCTTGGAACTTTTCCATGTCACTGTTCCTCCATTTAGGGTAAAGACCTAGCCAGACTGCGAGTGGAAATTATCCCGGTCAGTCTGAAAACTAGCATCACTATACCCTCGCACTCTCAAGTCATCGCTCCCACCGAGGATAAAAAAGCATTCTTTAGTCCTCTGAAGGTACTTAAGAATATTTTTTATTGCGATCCAATGTGCTCTACCAGGGTTCCCTTGATATCTGCTGACCATGCTCAAAGCGAATGCCACATTAGGGCGAGTACATGTCATAGCATACATGACTGAGCCAACTGCGGAAGCATAAGGTACTCGGCTCATCTCTGCTATCTCAACATCAATACTTGGACTCTGAGTCTTACTCAACTTGGTATTGCTTTGGATTGGTAACTCCCCTTTCTTGGAATTTTCCATGATGAAACGTTTCAACACTTTGTCCAAGTAAGCACTTTGACTAAATCCTATTATCCCCTTACTCCTATTTCTCAAAATCCTTATCCCTAGAATATAGGCAGCTTCTCTGAGGTCCTTCATAGCGAAGCACTTCCCAAGCCAGGACTTAACCTCCTGCAAGGTTGAGATTTCGTTTCCTATGAGTAGTATGTCATCCACATACAAAATGAGAAAACTAACTGTACTCCCACTGGCTTTGACATATACACAGGACTCATCTTCGATTCTCGAGAAACCAAACTCTTTGACCTTCTCATCAAAACAAACATTCCATCTACGAGATGCTTGTTTCAATCCATAGATGGATTTCTCAAGCTTACACACTCTATTACGGTGCTTCGCATCGACAAAACCCTCTGGCAAACTCATGTAAACATCTTCAGCCAACTTCCCATTAAGAAAAGCGGTTTTGACATCCATCTGCCATATTTCATAATCATGAAACGCAGCTATGGCTAGCACGACCCTTATAGATTTAATCTTCGCTACTGGTGAGAAAGTATCATCATAGTCAACTCCAGGAGTTTGAGTAAAGCCCTTCGCAACCAGTCGCGCCTTACACGCGTGCACTTTCCCATCCATGTCGGTCTTCTTCATGAAGATCCATTTGCACCCGACTGTATTACGACCTGGCACATTGTCAACCAAGTTCCAAACTTAATTGTCATACATGGACTGAGTCTCGCTGTCCATCGCCTCTGTCCATTTTGCAGACTCTGGGCCTACCATGGATTCCTTGTAGTTGTTAGCTTCATCCAAATTCACTAGTGTACTATCACTAATAAACGTATCACCCTCACTTGTTATATGAAAACCATATAATACAGGTGGAACACTAACTCTACTTGAACGTCTAAGAGGTAAGGACTCGTCAACCGGATCAACAGGAGTTTCCTCCTCGGGTTGAACGCCAGTGTTAGAGGTTCCTTCATCGATTGACTCTTGAAGCTCTTCAAGATCAATTTTCCTCCCACTATCCTCTTGGATTAGGAGTTCTCGTTCTCGGAAAACCCCTCTCCTCGCAACGAGGATAACATTATCACTCGGTCTATAGAAGAGAAATCCAAAGGAGTTCTGCGGATAGCCGATGAAAATACACCGCTCACTATGAGGTTCGAGCTTGTCGTGAGTCTCTTGTCTTACGAAAGCCTCGCAACCCCAAACCTTGATATGTGCAAACGAGGGAGCTTTCCTTGTCCACATCTCGTGAGGTGTTTTGGCAACCTTCTTAGTAGGGACTAGATTAAGGATATGGGAGGCAGTCTCTAAGGCATACCCCCGAAAATGAGATAGGTAGCGTAGCACAACTCATCATGGAACGAACCATATCCAACAAGTTTCGATTGCGCCTCTCAGCCACACCATTCAACTGCGGTGTCCTAGGTGGCGTCAACTGCGAAACAATTTCGCATTCCTTGAGGTAGCCGTGAAATTCAAGACTAAGGTACTCACCACCTCGATCTGATCGGAGCATCTTAATTTTCCTGCCCAACTGATTCTCCAATGCTTGCTTAAACTCTTTGAACTTTTCAAATGTTTCTGACTTGTGCTTGATCAAGTAGATATACCCATATCTGCTATAATCATTGGTGAAAGTCACATAGAAGCGGTTTGCATCCCTTGTGGTGGATCTAAAGGGCCCACACACATTGGTGTGTATGAGATCCAATAAACCCTCACCCCTTTCACAAGTGCCAGTGAAGGGTAACTTGGTCATCTTTCCAAGCAAACAAGACTCACACACGTCATCGTCCCGAAGGTCGAATGACTCCAACACTCCATCCTTTTGGAGTTGGGCTATGCGTTTCTTGTTGACATGTCCAAGATGACAATGCCACAAGCATGCTTTGTC